CATGTGTGTATAGCAGCACAGCTCGAGTTGACTGCCTGAACTAGCTCGCAGGCTTCGCTCCATTTGTTAAAAATACCAAAAACTAAAAAAACAAAGTTTGGGCGCCCTGGTGTGGCTGTCAGATAACTGATGCGTTGCAATGCAAATAATATTAGATCCACCATGATAACTCTTCTACTTTTTGTCCAACCTGTGTATACTTTCCTTAAAACCTCTTCCTGGTAACATGTTTTCTATCACAAGCAAAGGCTGTCAGCCAAATGACAACTAACTGATGTTCATAACAAGAGAAAAACTTGTTTTTATATACTCCAAAATAGCTCAACACTTTCTAGCTGTCAGAGGTGTGAAAATGTACCCAGCGTCAGTGAACACTGCACAGAGCGAGCAGAAAGCAGCATGTCACTGATGTTGTTGTCTCTGATAATTGAGTAGGATGTGACCTTAGAGGGCACAGAGCATGGAGGCCATGTCAGCCAGTAGTAAATATAATATACATCATTATTAGGGTTGTGGCATATTCTATGTATGAGCAGGGTTTGTAGCATGTATTTCAGTTTACTGTATATAGATTTCAAAAGTAAGAATTTCAATACCATTGATCTTGCCTATTTGCTTCATTTCAGACATCTGCTTTTCATTAATTACTCAGCTATTTCTCAAGGAAGAGTCTTCATTTTGTACAGAAATGAAGTAATGCAAGTACGAGTGCTGTAACCCAACAAGATGAAAGACTTCTTCACAATGACCTCTGCCTGATGGAGAAAGAATCTGTTTCATTTTAGGGCTTCAAACTAGGGATGTAAATAAAAACCAGATATATGGTTTGTATATGAATAAATAATGTAGTCTGAACAGATATGAACAGCCTCAAAATTTAGTTGTACTATTTGTTTTCCCCATAGAGCTGTTGTGAATGTCACACAACTTCTCATTAAACACACACTGCTCTAATCGGCTGGCTCATCCCTCAGTAGTGTTGGGAGCATTGACAGTATATATAATGGATGGAGCTTCCGGGTCTGTGAAGTGAAGCCAACACGGTAGAGTCTTAAACCTGCAATCTATGAAAAGGCCAGCAGGGGGAGTGGCATTGGCTGCAATAAAATACCATGAAGTTTTATAGAGTTTTCAAGTTGAACACAAATCTGACCGGCATGCACTGTGTGGCGATCGCCATTCTGCGCAGGCCTGGCACATCTCGAAAGGGCCTAATGGTTGCACTCAAAACTGGTGGAAGTGTGACTGGTTTGCTACATAACAGCAATATTCCAAGAGTCTTGAACAGAACCGGTTGAAAAACAAGAACTAATTTGGTGGAAAAGGGGCCTTGTACGTATAGATGTGTATATACACAAATTAGATGAGCTTCTCTTCAGTCTTTCCATGTACCTCTTGGCATTTGCACACCTGGTTGGAAATCACTGGTCTAGACAACTAGAACATTTTTACATCACATCTTTAGCCAAGATTGAGTCTACTTTTCTATTTTGTTAAACACATCTCACTCTGCGTAATCATTCACAGGTTTATCCATGATAGCAACAGGCATAGCAAAAGTTAAGAACCGCTACGCTTTCATACAGTAAGTGAGGGCCAGAGTAGTACCCTGTGTTTATACAGGCACACTCATGCATGATCTCTTGTTCATTACCTTTTATTCTTGAATACATCAAGTCTAAAAAGGACATCCAGTACTGTTTGGACAGAGTGTTTACCCTCAGACAAAGAGAAATGGAAGTGGAATCAAAGGGCAGGTACTGCGAGAACACACAGTATACAGTATATTGAATACATACCACACACTCACTAACATTCTCAATTCCTTCCAGTCAGCCAAGAGAGGAGACAGACATGGTTGGAAGCTGGACAAATATAATCTGATATATAAATAGCTAAACCAGGACACACACATGCTCGCACACACAGGCTAGGGAACAAACATCACTTTGACTGTCTACCTTAACTCACTGAGACAGCCGCCAGTGCAGCCGATATATTTACCTGGTGTGTCATGCTGCAGAGGGGATTTAGGAAGGCAAACACAAAATTAGTCAGGAATACCCACAAAGTGGAGCAGATAGGGCAGAGCGGGGGGATTAATAAGGGATAGCCAGGCTTTGATAATGCTGACGTTTTGAGCCGACGCGTGCTCCCTGAAAGCCCTTTGTTTAGCCCTTATTGCCAGTTGCCATCTGTTATGAACCAGTTGCCAGATTGCCCCGGAGCAACATCATCAATCCCTCCCTCTTTCAGCTTTTGATCTGTAAAAGTAAAATGCGGCTATTCCCGACTCTGTGCTCACCAAGTCAAAAGCCGATATCTGTTCTGACGGATTGTGACTCCCTGTGTAACCCCGGGGGTCCTCTGTTGTCATGCTGGCCAATTCCCACTCCTCAAAGGAAGTAATGACCTGTCCTTGCCTTAGTGCATCTCCAAAATAGACCGCCACACACATGGAGATGAGGACATCTCAGCTACACTGAGGCTTAAGTGACACATATCCAACTGCAGTCCTACTTTGATGTTGTGTTGCACATTAACAGTGCAGCAGCAACTCTGTTTAGAAACAGGCCTCATGCACTGTGATGTTACCCCGAGACACCTACGCTAAAACACAGCAGTTTACTCCCTGCATATTTATGTCTGAACTCTTCAAAGGTTGATTTTCTCTTTAACATTCATCTGGCGTTTCTCTCCTCTCTTCTCTTTATTCATTCCCCTCATACATGTTCCTTCCTTCCCTCCCTTCATTTCCTTCATTAAATTCAATCCACCCGTCCTTCTCACCTCCCCGTGTCCCTTTCTGCTGACACCTCATCTCCGCCTCTCGTCGACCAGGCCGGGCCAGTCTGCACGGCAAGTCCTCCCTACGGATAGAGAATGTGCGTTCGGACGACCAGGGCTGGTATGAGTGTAAAGTGCTTATGCTGGAGCAGCAGTACGACACCTTCCACAATGGCAGCTGGGTGCATCTAACCGTCAACGGTAAGTAACATCAGCATCCATTATTCACACTGTTCACTATACTTATACTATACTAGACTTAGAAGCTGGAAAGACAGTGGTGGAGAAACAGATACGTACATGGTGCATACAGTATGTGGACTGATATTATTACACAGGTATGTTGAATTTTTGTATCAAGCCTTTGAAATGATTCACTGGTTGTCTATGGGAATATGAATATGCCAAAACATAGTGACATAGGCTTAAACCAACAAATGTTGGTGACTACAAGGTCAAAATTGTGATTAAACTTTTGACCAATACTGAGTCCAATACTTTTACTTGTTTATGCTGTTTAAATATATAGACTCTGTCACACTGGAATAAAAGCTATGGATCCAAAATTTAAAAACAATGTTTCCAGTGACAGTCAGCATCAGAATGTAATAATTGATAATTTAGCAAATCTCTGAAAAAAAATGTGTGACTCTTTTTCTGACAAAGTTTTCACTCACACATGCATCAGAATGCTGCACTTTAGAGCTCAGGTGAACTAAAGGAGAACCTCACTGAGACACTAGCAGGCTGACGTGGACAAAACAGCAGAGTGCAATAAACAAAAGCCTTGGATTGGATTAGTGGTAGGAATATAGGTAGTGGAGCCCATGCAGCTGCAGTAAGACCGGGTCCATCATGGTATAGTGGGGGCGACTTTGTCCCTCACAATTTTAGAGCTGCTTCATTGGTCCAGTCTGCAATAAAACATTGTTGGAACAAAGCAATTTAGATACCTATTGCTGTTACTACTACATGTGGAAAATACTCATATGGAGATATAATTAGCCTTTAACATTCAATCAGGGTTCCCACTCTTTAAGAAATAATGCTCACAAACAATATCACCGGTAGGTCTAGTATTGATACATTTAACCTCAGCTTTTTAACACAGTTTTTCTGCTCTGTTTAATGATACAGCTTCATGATGAATTTTACAGAAAAGTCATCTTCTTACCTATTGGCCAATTAAAAGAAGAAGAAGTAGAAAGTGTTTGTTGCATGCACAATGAACATTTCTGTGTGTGTATTTATTTACCACAACAATACATTTTTCCATTGGGCTGTCATGAGAATACTGCTTGCAGTTCGCTGAGAAGATCGCTGCAAGTTGTTACACGGCTGATAAACCCGCTTTGAAGTGTCGTACTGCGCAGGTTCTCCTACCAACAGTCCAGTTTCTAACTAAATATGAAGGCCAATCTGAGTGAAGGGCTAAAATGCAATAAAAATTTCCAGAATAAGAATTGATCATTTTAATCAATTTCCAGGTGTTTCTATGACTGGAAAACTAGTCTTTAAATGTCCATGTTTTCCAGGATGTGTGGGAACCCTGATAATATTCCAGTAGTTTTAACATTAGCCTCACAATCTTTCTGTTCAGTTACAAATTACTTCAGTTTTGGTTAATATCTGTTTTTATAATTAAACTTGCTGCATTAAAATTCTAAAACTCAAAAAATATAATATTTTACAGATTTGGGTTATTTACAGTATTAAAGTAGTTTATCTATGTTACCTAATTTTATGTCAGTATGCATAAGAAATAGTATTGTGAAAAGCTGATCTATAAAATCCCAGTTGTCTGTAATTCTGTATGTATGACGTAAGTGTGTGTGTGTGTTTAGTGTATGTGGGCCCTTAAAAAAAGGGGGACCATCTTTATTAGCTGATGCCACTGCTGCTAACAGCAATAAAACTAATAATCATCATTATAGTCATCCTCTTGTCTGTACTATCAGACATATACTAACTCAATTGTGTATTCTAAATGAATTCTAAAAACATTCTTAATCAAGTAGCTCTAGTAATTTTAAGTGTCATGGACTTAATGTCCACTGGAAAAATTAGCAAAAAGTTTGAACAAAAACAATTGAAACAGATTACATCAAAATTTTAAGTAACACAAACTCAATTTTGAAGTTATTTTACTAGGTTTTTTGTTTTTACCGGTACAAATAAGAATGACAAAATTAAGTCGGTGCCACTTTACTTAAGCTACTTGATCAGGATTTTTTTTAACTTACAAAACTGAGTTTGTTTTACAGAAATTTTCGAAGTTATGAGTTTCAACAATTTAGTTAAATTGACTTACCTGGTTTCACTGTGAATAACAGGAAGTCCAAATACTGATTATACACACACACACACAGTCACTGCTGATAGTGTCTCTGGAGAAGAGCACCAGACAAACACCTGAGTGTAAAAGAAGAAAATCACACCTGTGTAAACACTAACGAGACTCTCACAGAAACTAAGAATATTCCCGCCTTCACTTTGTAGCTCTAGCATTCATTTGGATGTTTAATCAGACAGCAGGTTGCTGTGGTAACAGACGCAACAGATACCCCTTTTGTTGTTGTGCACATTGTCTTTTATTTCAGTGTTGCTCGTTGTTCGTTTGACTTCGCCTTGCTCTGCTCTCTCTCTCTTCTCCCAAGAAGTTTTTTGAGATCCTCGGGGCTTCCTCTGCCTCTTTTCTCTTTCTGTCCTTGTGGTCTGTCACTCCTCCGCTTGCTTTTAGTGTCTCGTTTGCCACCGCACTTTTTGTTCAGTTGTAGTCAGGTCGGTCGTACCACGACACAGTGACACGGCTTGCTAGTTCGGTTACCAAAATGTTAAAGGTTCCAATTTTGGTCGTTGACTCAAATCAAGTCCAAAAATAATTTTCAGTGGCATTATATAGTAAAGTAATGAAATCTGTGAGTAAAATATGTATTTGAAAACTACGAGGCTCCGGACCGATAAAGGATTTTTTAAGGCATATTTTAAGCATAATTAAACGCATTAAATCAGCAACAAACCCCTAATTGTTCTTTCTTCCGTTCTTATTGCAAAGAAGATAGAAATACATTCTGAAAAATGATCAGCATTCTGAAGTAAACTTAGATTGTTCACAAAAGCATTATTGAACAACCTGAATTTTCTTAAGGAAAATAAGTGCAATTTCAACAAATAGTCTATTATATTAACTTTACATTTACACATGTGGCATGTAGGCTACAATTTTTTTAAAGATCAGGTGGATGTGGATCTACAAGCACAGAAACATTGAAGTAACATGTAACCTGGAAACGAACAATAAATCATCAGGGCTAACTTTCTCTGGTACAGTTAAGTGAATATTAAGGAACAACTTGTCAAGATCTAGACTAGAAATTATTTTAAATTTACATGCATTTTCACATCTGTGCAGTAGTAAAAGTGTCTGAAGCAGCATTTTACATGAAGTAGGTTTAGTTTGCTAAGTTTAGTCTCCTTTTTAACAAAGTCATTTTGACTGATGATGAGGAATAGAGCAGCGTAACGTGTGTGGTAGAGAGAGAGAGAGAGAGAGAGAGAGAGAGAGAGAGCATAAGTGAGCGCATAAGCGAGTGCGCGAATGCACTGTACATCTTACTGTAAACACAATGTCCTCCCTGTGACTTTTGTTGAATAGGAAATGTCTTTAAGTGAGGAAATAGTTGGGAAATTAAATACATTCTCTATTGAATTTGTGGCTGAGTTTGTAGTGTTAGTTTTTCACTAAGAAGAAAAAGACAATGCTAGATGTCAGTGAAGGTGTAGGAAATAGCCAGTGTGGGTGGGATGTCAATATGAGAGCAAACTTACAGTATACCAATAAAACTGAAAGCTAGCTTGCTTCAAAAATACTAGCCCTTTAACGTGGAATGTGTTGTCAAACTAATATTTGCATGTATGAATGCAGCCAATGGGAGTTGGTAGTAACCACTCTAGAGCCAGGCAGTGACAACCACACTTACCATCGCGCCATCTACTGTCAGCAGTAGTGTGTAGCAGCACTGTACGATGCAATCCAAAAAAGCTTTCACAGAATTCTCCTTTATCGTCAAATTTTTAGCATCTTTTAAAGGGGAAAAGTTCACAGGGAGGGCAGCACCTGCCTTAAATGCTATGGCAGTGTCGTGATTTACTGGCAAGTGATCTGAGGTTGCTGAAGCCAAAGAGGTTTACTTGGTGAAATGCTCAGTGAAACAGAGGTCCTTTGATGGAGAGACACGCAGTGGTGAAGCGGTGGCGGGGTCAGGGGACCAGGTCTCCGGGGAGTCCCTGCCGCTTTACTGATGATGCAGCTCAACAGGAAAACTTCCACCTCTGCTCGCTGGCAGGAAGAAGGCGGGTTGTCCAATCTATGATGGCAGCAGTGGTGTCTTCTGCCCACAGCAGATGTACTGTAGTATGCATGTGCAGAATCAAATGATCTGTGGTTGTAGTCATGTTGTAGTCACCAAAGCACAGCGCATTAAAGATATTCACTAAAGCCAGCTCTAGATATTTGGGCCAGGGCTACATATCAAACGTATAATAATTAAAATAAGCTAATTCTGGAATAAAAAAGTTATTTTATGGAAGTGAATCAAGGATTTACCTTACATCTGCTAAATTGTTTAATCTTAGAGAAAATTCTCGTTTATTTATTTTTTTTACTTTATTTTATTCATGTGAAATACATAATCTCTTGAAATAATCAATATATTTATTATGTATAAATGTATAGATCTGGATGAAATAATAGGAAAGTGTTAGGGTAGTTACTCAAAAAATTTAATTTATTGCTGATTACTCTTTTCAAAATCTACTACTTATTACTCCCTGCCAACCGTATTTGGTTAAACTACCTTTCTGCTACTCCCCCATAAAATTAGTAAC